CGTGGGTTTGGAGGCATTAACATTTTTCAGTTATCTTTTGATGCTATTATTTTAACTTTTTAAGGGGATCTAGAAATATTGTCATAAGGGCTCCAGTAATCAGGAACCCTCAAAAAGTATATATTATTCCCTTCTTAAAAAATCTTTTATCTCAACAAGAGTATGGGGCCACTGGCCTCCAGTGGGAACCTGGAGACCTGGTCCATCTCACTAACTATGCCATTCAGCCTGAGACCTTTTGGTCTGCATTATCCCATTATCAAACAAGCACACCAACCAGTCTGGATGAGATTTCCCTGACTTTTGTTCATATTTGTCCTTTAGATTGTGATTGTCCTTTTCTCTGTGGATCTGCATTGAGCATGTTAGTTCCCTGTCAGATGACTTGGGGACCATCTGAATACCCACCTCTTGGGCTCTCTAGCTGCAAAAATGATAAGTCCCCAGCAACCAGAGGAACATGCACTGTGGTTCCCTGTTTTCACATTCCTTTCCCTTTGCCTCAATATGTGCAGCCACCTTACTCACATCTCTGTGGGAAGAGGAGAAGTAATCTATGCTCCACTTATCACCCTTTCTTCTCCATACATCATCCAGCTGTATGTACAGACACTTCATTCCCAAGCTGATTTTTTTTTCCCCATGGACCCAGTACTGAGGGATATTGACTTTATTGCTTCAGCAGGAAACCATGGTTCTGTTAGACTGATCTTGCTCACTGCATGAATTATGTGAAGCAGACTTACTGTGTAAGTGTTACCACTCCAGTCCACTGCATCTTGGCTTGTACTTTCACTGCTTGCCTGAGTCCCAACAGACAGAACACACACAAACATACACACACACGTTACATGTAGCAGGTTTATTGTTTCCTAATAGGTAGCAAGAAGCAACAAGCCTAAGATTCATGATGAGCCAATTTTCCAAGGCTCAGAAAAGCTATCCAGGGTGAATTGAGTCTTGCATGTACACACTTTACTTGCACTGTAGCTGAGGCACCACAAAAAGCAGCCCAACCTGGATTTTATACCCTGGAGAGGGGCATATGGCACATTGGGCTAAAATGTTGATGGACACCTTATTTCTAAAAGGGGCTAACAAAGCCTAATCTATTCCAGCCAGTCCTTCCTTATCTCCAGAAGTTGCATTTCCACCACATTCTACAGGTATTGAGAGCTACAAAAAAGAAGATGTTGAAGCACTGGGTTAATCCATATCTACCCAAACAACTTTTCTGCGGTAAATAAAAACAAAAAATGTAGAGAGAATATACACAAAAGGAAATGAAAAGGTACTCAAAACATACCATTATGAAAAAAAATCAGTGAAATACAATGGAAGGTCATTAGGGAGGAAGGAGACAAAAAACATTATAAACATGCAGAAAACAGGAAAATGGCAATAGAAAGTCCTCTGTTATTAGTAATTACTTTAAATGTAAATGAATTAAATATCCAATCAAAAGACTTGATTGGTTTAATGGATAAAAAAAACAAGATCCAACTATTTGCTGTCTATGACACACACTTTAGATCTTAGGAAACACATAGTCTAAAAGCAAAAGGATGTAAAATATTATTCTATATAATGGTAACCAAAATAGAACAGCGGTGATTAAAATAATATCAGACAAAATAGACTTTATATAAAAAACAGTTAAAAAAAAACAGAGACAGACATTATACCATGATAACAAAGTTAATTCACCAGAAAGATAAGAGTTATAAATCCTTATGCATCAAATATCAGAGCTCTTAAATATATGAAGCAAAGTTTGGTAGAACTAAAAGGAGAAATAGACAGTACCACAATAATAGGATATGCCAATAGCCCACTTTTAATAATGGATAGAACAACCAGACAGGAGCTCAAGAAGGATATAGAGGCCTTGAAGAGTACTATAGGTCAACTGGACCTAAGAGATGTATACAGAACACTCCACCCACAGCAGCAGAATAACTATTATTCTTATCTATTCTTCTCAAGTCCACTTGAAATGTTCTCCAGGATTGAATACGTTAGGCTATAAAATAAGTCTTAGCAAATTCAAGAAGATGGAAATCATACAAAGTATCTCTTCTGATTACAGTAGAATGAAACTAGCAATCAATAGCACAAATAAAACTAGGAAATCCATTAATATATGAAAATTAACACATTCTTAAACAACTAATGAGTCAAAAGAGTCACAAAAGTATTTAGAAAATATTTTGCAATGAGTGAAAATAGAAACACAATATATTAAGACTTATGAGATGTAGTGCTAAGAGGAAATTCTACAGCTGCAATTGCATACATTAAAATAGAAGAAATATCTCAAATTGCCAAAGTAACCTTTTACCTCAAGAAACTAGAAAAAGAAGAACACACCTAAACTGAAAGTCAGGAAAGGCAAAACAATTACAAAGATTAAAGCAGTGATAAATCACATAGAGAATAGAGAAACAGTAGAAAAATATCAAACCGAGAGCTGGTTTTCGAAAACATCAACAAATTTGACAAACCTTTGGTTACATTAACTAAGAAGAAAGGAGAGAAGATTTAAACTAACTAAAATCAGAAATAAAAGAGGAGACATTATAGAGCAATGCCACAGAAATAAATAGAAGCATAAGAGAGTACCATAACAATTGTATGCTAGCAAAGTGGATAACTTAGGAAAAAAAAAAAAAGTAAGTTCCTAGAAAATACACAATCTGAATCAGGACGAAAATCTGAACAGACCGTTACTAAGTAAAGAGATTGAATTCATAAATTAAAACATCTCAACATAAATACATAAACAAAACTCAATACCAGATGGCTTCCTTGGAGAATCTATCAAACATTTAAAAAGGAATTGACACCTATCCTCCTGAAACTCTCCAAAAATTTTGAAGAGAATACTTCCAAACTTATTCCATGAGGCCATCATTACCCTAATACCAAAACCAAAGACATTGCAAGAAAAGTACAGATCAATAGCCCTGATGAATATTAATGCAAGTATTTTCAACCAAATACTAGCAAACCGAATTCAACAGCACATAAAAAGGATTATACACCTTAATCAAGTAGGATTTATTTCTACAGTGTAAAGATGTTTTTACATATAAAAATAAGTGTAATACAATATATTAGCAGAAATAAGAACAAAAACCACATAATCATTTCAATTGATGCAGGAAAGCATTTGACAAACTTTAACATGCTTTCATAGGAAGACCACTCCAAAACTAGGAAGAGAACATCTTCAACAAGATAAAGTCACTAATGAAAAGCCTACAGCTAACATCATACTCAGTGGTAAAAAGGTGAAAGATTTTTATCTAATACCAAAAACAAGGCCAGAATTCCTACTTTTGCCACTTATATTCAACATAGTATTAGAAGTTCTCACCACAGCAATTAGGCAAGAAAAATAAATAAAAGACATCCAAACTGGAAAGGAAGGAGTAAAATTATCTCAGTTCACAGATGACATAAGCTTATATGTAGAAAATCCTAATGATTCCACCAAAAAATCTGTTAGAATAAATTAATTCAGCAAAGTTGTAGACTAAAAAAATCAACACACATAAATTAGTTGTGTTTTTAAACACTAACAATGAACAGACAAATAGGTTAGCAAGACATTTCCATTTGCAATAATATCAAAAGAATAATATACTTAGGCATAAGCCTAATGAAAAAGATGAAAGATTTGCACACTGAAACTAAGAAACATTGCTAAAATAAGTGACTACATAACTGAATGGAAACACATCCTATGTTCATAGATGAGAAGACTTAAATTTTAATAAAATCCCCGTCAAACTAGCAATTACATTTTATTTGCAGAAACAGAAAACATATTTCAAAATGTATTTGGAATTTTAATAGACCTTAAATAGCCAAAACAGTTTTGAAAAATAAGAATAAAGTTAGAGGACTCACACTTTCTGATGAGACCAATCAATGGGGAAATGACAGTCTTCTCAACAAATGGTGTTGGGAAACTGTATATCTATATGCAAAAGAATAAATTTGGACCATTATTTTACATCATATAAAAAGATTAATTTAAAGTTGATTAAAGGCCTAAATGGAAAATCCCAAACTATAAAAGCACTAGAAAGAAACATAGAAGAAAATCTTTAGGGCATTGGCCTTGGCAATTATTTCTTAGCTATCATAGAAAAAACACTGCAGGGCTGGGCACGGTGTCTCACACCTGTAATTCCAGCACTTTGGGAGGCAGAGGCAGACGGATTGCCTGAGCTCAGAAGTTTGAGACCAGCCTGGGCAACACAGTGAAACCCCATCTCTACTAAAATACGAAACATTAGCCAGTCATGGTGGCATCTACCTGTAGTCCTAGCTCTCCAGAGGCTGAGGCAGGAGAATTGTTTGAACCCAAGAGGCAGAGGTTGCAGTGAGCCCAGATGGTGCCACTGCACTCCAGCCTGGGTGACAGAGTGAGAGTCTGTCTTAAAAAAAAAAACAAAACACCGGAAATAGAAGAAAAATATAAACATGGGACTACATCAAACTTAGAAACTTTTGTGCATCAAAGGATTCAGTCAATAAAGTGAAAAGGCAATATATGGAAAGGTAGAAAATATTTGCCAACCATATATCTGATAGAGGTTAAATAAAAAACTCTGGCATCTAAAAAACAAAAATATTAAATAAACCAATTAAAAGATGGGAAAAAGACTTTTTTTTTTTTTTTTTTTTTTTTTTTGAGACGGAGTCTGGCTCTGCCGCCCAGGCTGGAGTGCAGTGGCCAGATCTCAGCTCACTGCAAGCTCCGCCTCCCGGGTTCACGCCATTCTCCTGCCTCAGCCTTCCGAGTAGCTGGGACTACAGGCGCCCGCCACCTCGCCCGGCTAGTTTTTTGTATTTTTTAGTAGAGACGAGGTTTCACCGGGTTAGCCAGGATGGTCTCGATCTCCTGACCTTGTGATCCGCCCGTCTCGGCCTCCCAAAGTGCTGGGATTACAGGCTTGAGCCACCGCGCCCGGCCAAAATAAGGCTCTTGCGTTGGCCGGGAATCGAACCCGGGCCTCCCGCGTGGCAGGCGAGAATTCTACCACTGAACCACCAACGCGCAAGACTTGAGAAGACATTTCTCCAAAGATGATGTAAAATGACCAGTAAGTGTATGAAAAGATGCTCAAAATCACTAATCATCAGATAAATGCAAATCAAAACCACATTGAGATATTACCTCATATCTATTGGGATGGCTACTATTTTTAAAAAAGAACCCATAAAATAAGAACGTACCAAGGGCTGTTAAGAATGTGGAGAAATCGGAACTTTTGTTCACCGTTGGTGGAATTGTAAAGTATAGCAACTGAAGAGACAAACAGTATGGACATTCCATAGAAAATTAAAACAATAATTACCATATGATTCAGCAATTCCACTTGCAGATATGTATACAACATATTTGAAAGCAGGATTTCAAAGGGATATTTGCAATCCCATGTTTATAGCAGCACTATTCACAATAGTCAAAAGGTGGAAACAACACAAATGTCCAATGACTGATAAATTGATAAACAAAATGTGTATACAAGTCATAGAATATTATTCAGTTTTAAAAAGAAATGAAATCCTGCAATATACTACAACATGGATGAACCTTAATGACACAATATTAAGTGAAATAAGCCAGTCACCAAAAGACAACTACTTTATGATTCCAATTAATAAGTTTCCTAAAATAGTCAATTTCATAGAAACAGAAAGTAGAAAGGTGGTTACCAGGGGCTGGGGAAAAGGGAACAGGGCATTGTTTTTTAATGGGTATAGAGTTCAGATTTGCAAGATGAAACAGTTCTGGAGATGTTTCACAATAATATGAATATACTTAACACTATTACATTGTAAAAGTGGTTAAGATGGTAAATTTTGTTTTCTGTTTATAACATAACATAAAGTACACAGAGATTAAAAAATAATAAAAATAACCAACAATTCCATAAAAGTGGGCTGAGGATATGAAAAGGAGGTTCAAGGAATAAAAACACAAAAGCCTTTTTAATCAATGCCCAACCTTATTATTGAAAGGAAAATATAAAATGCAAGCACAATAAATTACTATTTCTTACAAATAGGATTTTCAAAAATTAAAAATTTTGATAACACACAATGTTGTTTGAACTGCATAAAACAGGCACTCTCACTCATTTCTGTTGGGAAGGTAAAATAATTAAACTATTTGTAGAGGGATTTGACAATATGTAGAAAAATTATGTATTATTCTATTCTTTGGCACAACAATCTACTTCTAAGAATTTATTCCAAAGATTATAGTGGGAAAAATTATGGAAAGATATTTTCTGTGAATGATTGATTGGCAGAACTATCTCTAATGGCAAAATATTTATAAAAATTCAAACTTTCATTAAATTTTTAATTAAAAATTAAATTTTTTTTATTTTAATTGGGGCCTAGTTGAAGTACTATGATACATACACGCAATGAAAAAAAGTCACTGTGTAAAGGAGCAAGAAATATCCGTAAAAACCATGAATGGTATTTTCTTAAGTGAATAACATAAGTCAGAGAAAAGTATATATACAATGATACTGATTACCTTAGAAAGATCAGCGGCATCAATATCTATCTATCTAGCACTTATCTATTATTTTATAATTTTAAAAGTGTAAAATTCAATCATAAAATTTAAAAGCTGGTTAGCTTTGATGGGGAAGCGAGAAGGATGGAAGAGGGTGTTAGCTAGACTTCACTGATAATGTCTCCTTATGTAGATTTAACTTTATAACAATAATATTTTAACTAATTATAAAAATGCAAAAAAATGAAAATGCAATTGCTAAAATCTAAAATAAAAATGAACATATAAACCTAAATTGTTACTGGGTTGGTAGCTCAGCCACACGAAAGTGATGACTCCATTTGATTTTAAGGCATTATAATCTTTATCTACATCCTTCTTGGCTATAACCAGCAGAAAAAGAATTCCAAAATTAAAACAAAGACCTTAAAATATTTTAAGTAAGTAATTATGTTGTGCTGATATTGTTATCCTGAAACTTTCCTGTGTGTATTATATGATTCAACAAATAAGTAAATTGCAGTGTTTATTAGTTTATTCTCATACTCCTATAAAGAACTGTCTGAGCCTGGGTAATTTATAAAGCAAAGGTTTAATTGACTCACAGTTCTGCATGGGTGGGGAGGCCTCAGGAAACCTACAATCATGGTGGAAGGGGAAGTAGGCACATCTTACTTGGTAGCAGGTGAAAGACAGAAGGTGAGCCAAGGAGGAACTTGCCAAACACATATAAAACCATCAGATCTTGTGAGAACTAACTCACTGTCACAAAAACAGCATGGGGGAAACTGCCCTCATGATCCAATCACCTGTCACCAGGTTTCTCCCTTAGTATCTGGGGATTACAATGTAAGAGATTTAGGTGGGACACAAAGCTAAGCCATATCATGTTGTTATTATTAAGAACAGAAGTTTTCAGCATTGGAAAAAAGATAAACAGATGGAACATAGAAGATATTACGCAAATTCCTTGTAATCCTGAGGTAAATTATTAGAAAAATCAGAATAAACTCATGATCTTTTATTTTAAACATAAAAAGCTAGCAGCAACAAAACAAACATACACACACACAAAAACATATTTCTTAAGCTTGTTTGCTATAGAAACATAGAAACAAGCTCTAATTTAATGGCACAGAACACTTATGCCCATTGGGATACCATTTTGGGATATTAATTGCAATTAATTAAGGGACATAAGTGATATTTAAATCCATGAGTTAATATTGATATTTTTAAAAATAAGAAAAGAAGAAAAAGCAAGAAAATATCTATTGGTTACCTTTGGAAGTTGCAAAGGAATTAACTTATTTTGAAAACTGTTAAACAAAGGATAAGATTTTTACAATTTCTATAGAAAAGTCAGCCTATGAAAATATAGCACTAAAGAGAAATAACGAGTTGTTTGTTCTAACATTAAATGTGCTTTATAAATAAGTATCTCCAGGGGGTATGATTTTAAAAAGCGAGAAACTCCTGTAATACTAGGCAAAAGCTTGGCATAATGCTTAGTACAACAAATGTTACGTTACCGTTGTCTTTTTCTAATTTTTCTCAAATTATTGTTAATCCTATAAGACACAATTACAAAATTAAGTAAGGTTCAGATTCAGATTCCCAAATTAAGTAAGATTCAGAATTTTTTAAAATCAGAAGGGAAAGGATGTGTGCTGTGATCCTATTTCCACTTACTTTTCTGTTGCATAACTTTGAGCAAATCATATCATCATATTTCTGAGCCTCAATAATCTAGTGATAACATGGGGATAATAATCTTTTCCTTTGTTGCCTCATAGCTTTGTTTGTGAGAAATGAGGTCATATTTTTGAATGCACCTTGTCACCTATACAGATACTTTTCAAATAGCAGTAAGTTTTTTAGCATTTATTAAAGTATTAATTTAGAAGAGTTATAGCTTTTATTGTTTCTTGTCTTTGCAAGAGAGTAATACCACAGAATGAGTCATTTAAAGCTGACCATAGAACACTAATCTGTACCTTTTCAGAAATAACTCATTAGAAAGTTGCCATTGATCAATAACGTTTGTGGAGCTCACTAAAGGGAGGAGAGTTATAATGGAACAATATGAACAACCCACTTTATCATCATGGGATACTTATATTTAAGTAGAGTAGATCAGAGTGAATTCTTTCATCTGTTCACTGGAGTAGAAAACAGTATTTTCCAAAATACTTCTTAGCATTTATTTTCAAGTGGTTATCCCTACCCAATATATTATTTGCAGGAGGTAAACAACTTATAAAATAGAATAAAAAGGAAAAACTTATGAAATACTGTAGCTGAGACCATTTATACGGACATGTGAAAATTGATTGACTCCTGCTTGCCAATTGCAGTGCTTAAATGAGTCAAAGCATCATGATCCATCTGTCATCATCCATATCGACTAATACCGTGTTTCAGGTATTGTATATAAAGCAATTACCTTGCAATTAGCTGTGTTCTCTTTCATTTAGTAGGTACCCTCCTGAGTTAAAGCAACTTGTTCCTAACATTATTGTCAAGGATCCATTAAAGTTTCTGATTAAAAAGTACCTCCAGGTTGAAACATGGTAGTTAAGCTTTCAGCTTGAGATGATTTTCTTTCTTTGATTCTTTTAAACCTCAGCAATACAAATTATCTGGCTTTAAAATTATGTATATGAGTTCAAACACCTTTCAAAAGTCATTAATAAGTTCCAAAATGAAAATAGCTTATTTCTCAGCAAAAAATTGGCAAATATACTGGACAATTTTGCAAAGAGTCTTAACTCTTAATGCAGCAAGAATCAAGTTTTGTCCTAACATGACTGCACAAGTCTTAAAAATCTTGAGTTTAAGATAAGGACAAATGCTAAGTTCCCTCTTTTCCTCTGAAATACCTTCTTTTAGCCTTTCCAACCAACAACAGTGGCAAGCTTAATCCCTGGCCTTGCATTAAAACCCCTGACATCAGACAGACATGGCTACATCCAGAGAACAAATTTAGGGACACAGCGCCTCATGGCTAATGGTGGCAGTATGTATCTGTGGGAGGGGATATGTTGCAAGCAGGATTATAACTTTTCTCTCTAATCCTCTCCTGTATCCTCTCTTATTAGGTATTCAGCTCTTTTTTGAAAGAGGACTCTTTTACTCCTTCGCTTAGGGGGTGAATAACAGCTTATTTCATAAGGCTTTTCTCATATCTAGAATTCTTTGAAGCTACAATGTAGCCTAACCCAAACCAATGCCAACTTTTAGTGTCAGGTAAGACACAATTGTTTTTAAATTTTACAAATTTGAATCATTAATTTAAGAAAGATTAAAAAGAATTGCTTTTTATTTTAAGTAAAAATTTCTTAACTTGTTTTTACTTCAATGATCAACTGTTACTTGATTCAGAGGCAATCCTGTGCTTACGATGCTTTTCCCAAATGTGTTCACTTACATTTTTAACATTTGCCAAGTATCTGCATCACTAAGAGCTTATACGATCCCCAGATTTAAACATTGTGGGCTCTATGTTTGTGGTTTTCAGA